AATATTAAAAGATTAGTTAGTTACTGATTTTCATTTCCCATTTTGTACTCGTTACATGATTTCAGTCTCAAATATAGTTATTATTATTTTTTTTTTAGTTTGTTGTTGAAATTTTTGCAGTGTTGTCTATCAGTTTTGAAATTCAAACTAGTGAGACCAAGTAATTTGGACATTATGACGACGTCTGACGATTTGCGTTTTTAGTGTACATGTTTGATGATCTGTGTTTATAGAGAATAATGTATATTAACGATCTGTATTTTAGTGTACGTGTTTGAAAATTTGTGTTTTAGTGTGTGTGTCTTACAATATGTATTTATGAATAAGAATATACATTAACGATCTGTATTTTAGTATACCTGTCTGACTATTATTTTGTACCTATTATTTTTTATTTTTCTTGTTATGTATATGTTATTTTTTGGCTAGAAAGTGTATCTATATATATATATATATATATATATATAATTTCTTATTTTTTTAGCTTACTTATCTTACAATGACGTAGCTTTTTAAAATAGGGGTTTAAATGCAGTGATGACATTGTCTTTATTTTTTGTAATTGTAAAAAATTATAGTTATGTCTATTAATTTGACTTTTTAACAGAAACTTAATCAAAAAAAAAATTTACGAATGAGTTCTTTTTTAATCCTATTAGACTTGGGGAGTGACTTCAAATCCCTCTATTATTAAACCGCCTCTAAACCAGTGAAATAGTCCAAACTTGTTTGAGCCTAAAGACTTCCCTCCTGTGGGGCCTCAATCAGTTGGGCCCATTACCGCCTTTGGGCTTAGATGATCACTCTCAAAATTCTGACTTAGAAAATCACACATGGCCCAAAAATCAAGACTTTCAAAAATGAATTATTTGAAAGTCGGTACACCTAATTAGACTTATTTGACAAAAAATACATAGAATAAAATATGAGTTAAAAAGACATAAATGCCCATTCTAGGGTCATTTAATTCAAAATTTTTTATCTTTAATGCACCTTGATTCATGTGTTTTTGTTAATACATATAAATACGTANGATAAAATTGAAAGTTAAATTCTGAAAATTGAATGATGAATCGGAAAATTAAATGCTAAATTTTAAACATTATATTTTTAATTTTTAATTTACAAAATATTTGGTATAAACTGAAATTTAAATATTAAATTGAATTAAATCGNATGAATCGGAAAATTAAATGCTAAATTTTAAACATTATATTTTTAATTTTTAATTTACAAAATATTTGGTATAAACTGAAATTTAAATATTAAATTGAATTAAATCGTTTGACAAATATAAGGAACTGAAGTTTAAAAATTATTATTATTCTAATTTTGTCATTCTTTTTAACTATTTCTCCGTAATTATCTTATTCCTACCACTATCATCACAATGGCGGTGGTGGTGGTGGACGCGACGACAACGACGCCAACAGCAACACAACGGTAGTGGTGATACAATAGTAGTGATGGTGACAGAGACACAATGGTTGTAATGTTGACAGTGGCGGTGGCGATGACATAATAATGATGGTGGCAGTGGTAGTGGTGGCGGTGATGGTGGCGATAATATAATAGTGATGGTGGTGGTGGATGGTGGGTATTAAAAAGTTAAAAATGTAAAATGCATTGAGTGTGTATTGTCCATTATGAAGAATTGATAAAATTTTTACTGACTAATATTTTCAACATTAAGTAGTAAGTAGGTAACTTGTTACTTAAAATTTTACTTTATTTTTAAGAAATATTTAAAATATTAAATGGTATGTATTTTAGATTATCAAACGAGTTTAATTTTTTTGGTACATTTTTTTTTGTCATGAATTCATTAAGTGTTTAGAGTATTACGTTTTAATTATGCTAGGGTCCCTCCTTTAATGTGTAACTTAATTTTAGTTATACAGAATTTTTTAAATAAAAAAAAGTCTTTTGATTTTTGAAAAAACTTGCATACCGTCCCTATGTTGACACAAGGTAAGGGGAGACATTACCTAAAGTGTTATACAAACAAAATATACATGTCTCATCTTACACTAAAAATACTAATTAATTGAAAAAGTGTGAAAGTGTTACACTTTCAATGTTAACATGTAACATTTTACACTTTTTATTAAGTAAGATGAGACATAAGGTAATATTTTACATTTTACACTTTATACTTTAAATATTACATTTTACACGTATATATATATATATATATATACATGAATCAATGTGCATTAAATATTAAAATTTCCTCATAAAACTAAGAGATATTTAATGAACCACTTTTCCTAAAATGGGCATTTATGTTTTTGTATTAACTAGTGTACCTTTTTTCAAAATATTTTTTAATATGTATTTTTTGTCAAATAAGTCTAATTAGGTGTACCGACTTTTAAAAATCTCATTTTTTATGGGAGGGATTAATTCCAAAGTGGATAAAAAAATAATTAGTCAACATGTACATAAATTAATTCAGACATCCCTGAATTATAAACTAAAAAAAATGAAAGTGTTATTTGAACTTCAAATGTGTACTTAATAATCACAATTATTGAGTAAGTAGTAAATTTTAATAAATATTTGAATCTATAGTGAAATCAATGATTGTGATTATCAAATATATATTTTAAGTCCGCTTTTTAAGTCTATGTAGCATTGCTAAAATAAAATATTTAAAATCTTCCCAAATTTTGGTATATATATCGACTGGAAGTCACATATTTTGCGATTTAAGTCATATTATTGAAAATAAAAAAATTGCGGTAACTAGTAATATAGTTAAAAAAATATAATAATATTATAAATAAAATAAAATAGAAATTAGATAATATAGTGCTAACCGTAAGTAAACCTTATATTTAAGTATAAAAACATATGATTGGTTTGAGCCCGATCTATTTTAGGTTTGTAAAAATTAAAATAGACAATAAACTTTTAAATTTAAGGATAAATAATATTCGGATCTTTTGAAGTTTGTCACTTAATTACTTAAACCCTTTTAAATATAACAAATGACTACATTACCCTAAGATAAAAACCAAATGAAATCTATTTACCCAAAAACAAAAAAAAAACAAATGAAATCGAACCTAACCTAAACCCAAACCCAAATATCACAAAACGGATTTGACTAGTTCGACCCAATCTGACCTGTAACCCACAACATCTCTTCCCTCTTCCCTTCTCTCCACCGCTTGAACTTCATTATCATCACTGATTGCCACCAGTTAACAACCAAACACCACCCCTACAACCACTTATTGCATCCCTGAATCCCATTATCCCATACTACCCACCACAATCTCGAAGTTAATATCCTAGCCCCACCATTTTGCAAAATTCCCAATGCAAAATGCCTTACCCCTGCTGCAGTGGTGCGGTTGCATTGAAACCAACGATTCGTCACGAGCTTCTTTGATCTTGGGCCATACAATCCTTGACTCGTAACTTGTGTTTGTGTGTGTGTATAGATTTGGGTGGTCTGTGTGTACAAGCGTGTGTGTGTGTGTGCGCATGCGAGAGAGAGAGATGTGTTGTGGTAGAAGGGAACGTTCTGGTTATTGACGTGGTGGTGGTGGTAGTGGGTGATTGCTGGTTGTTGCCATGGTGAGAGATGGTGCTTCGGCGGCGATAGAGGCAGTGCCAGTTGAGAAGTTAATTGCTTGATTTATGAGTTTAATTTCTAGGATTAACTAGCTTGATTAATGGGATAGTTTGGCTTAATAGACGAGCTTAATTATAAATACAAAAATAAAATTAATTGTATTAATTAAGTCCCGTTTAATAACATTTATATTTTTTGTTTTTTGTTTTTATTTTTATATTTGGAGAAAATCAGAACAAAAAATTTATTATTTTCATTTTTCTTTATTGTCATCGTTTTAAAAACGAAAAAAAGTCGTTTTTGAAAAAATCAATAACATTTAACGCGCGTGAAACATTAATGAAGTCAAAGGATCAAACTTTATTAGCACCAAAAAACCTCATTTATTGACCACCATATAAATAGCCATTGATCCCAAACCCTAACCTCTCCAAGCTTCTCTTCGCTGCAAGACCCCCTTCTCTCTCTCTCTCTCTCTCTCTCTCTCTCGCTCTCTCTCTCTCAGCCCCAGACGGTGAAGGTGAACGGTGCCTCCGTTGAAGAGTTCCGGTTCGACTGGTGGTGCCGCCGATGGCACGGAGTTGCTACGGACTTATCATACCTGGAAAGGCAACAATGTATGTTCAACTCCCCTGTCTCTCTCTGCATGTCTACTTGAAAGAAAATTAATTTCAGTTTCCTGTTGATTGGAATGAGGTTTAGGGGTGAATATACATGGTTAATCGATGTTGTTGACGGAAAATTTAGGGTTCTATGATCTAATTTATAAAGGAAAACTCTAATTTGGTTTCCACTTTTGAGGTTTTGTCTTGTGTTGCAGCATGAGATGGTAATGGTACCATCCTTGTACCGTTATTAATTTTGTTTGAATCTTGTTTAATTGGNCATGTCTACTTGGAAGAAAATTAATTTCAGTTTCCTGTTGATTGGAATGAGGTTTAGGGGTGAATATACATGGTTAATCGATGTTGTTGATGGAAAATTTAGGGTTTTATGATCTAATTTATAAAGGAAAACTCTAATTTGGTTTCCGCTTTTGAGGTTTTGTCTTGTGTTGCAGCATGAGATGGTAATGGTACCATCCTTGTACCGTTATTAATTTTGTTTGAATCTTGTTTAATTGGATTTGTTTTGAGCTGCTAAATTTGGGTTTTGTGTTTGACAAGCAAGTAGAAGATTTTGATTCTTTTATGGTTGGCTGTATACATCACAAAGAGTGTGTTAACTTGAACTTTCGACGGCGAAGGTGTTCTAGCCTTCGTCTTCGACAGTGAAGGGTTCTCCATCAAAGTAATTTTTTTTTTTTCTTTTGTGCTGTATTGTTGATTTTTTTTGTCTTCGTCTTTGTGGAACAAAATCAAGAACAAAAAAGTCGAAATTTACACAAAAATATGAGATTCAATGCAAAACCCAGATGAAAATCAAGAACAAGAATTGTCAAAACTATATGACAGTTAAAAGGCGATTATTTGATCTTTCATGTGAGCTGATGTGGTGTGGGCTTCCTTCTGGTCAATTGTAACGCATTCATGTTTATTACAACAGTTAGAATACGACCAGATTAAACATTTGCTTATTATGGCTGGCTTTTTGTATGCCAGGTACCTTTACCCTTTCAAATCTTGGAATGTTTGGTGTGGATCGCTTTGATGCCATTTTACCGCCAGGAACTGTAAGTTTTTGCAATTAAATTTAAATTCATCCTCTCTAGTAGATTACCTGTCATTTGACCAAATTATGNTTTTGAGGTTTTGTCTTGTGTTGCAGCATGAGATGGTAATGGTACCATCCTTGTACCGTTATTAATTTTGTTTGAATCTTGTTTAATTGGATTTGTTTTGAGCTGCTAAATTTGGGTTTTGTGTTTGACAAGCAAGTAAAAGATTTTGATTCTTTTATGGTTGGCTGTATACATCACAAAGAGTGTGTTAACTTGAACTTTCGACGGCGAAGGTGTTCTAGCCTTCGTCTTCGACAGTGAAGGGTTCTCCATCAAAGTAATTTNTAACTTGAACTTTCGACGGCGAAGGTGTTCTAGCCTTCGTCTTCGACAGTGAAGGGTTCTCCATCAAAGTATTTTTTTTTTTCTTTTGTGCTGTGTTGTTGATTTTTTTTTGTCTTCGTCTTTGTGGAACAAAATCAAGAACAAAAAAGTCGAAATTTACACAAAAATATGAGATTCAATGCAAAACCCAGATGAAAATCAAGAACAAGAATTGTCAAAACTATATGACAGTTAAAAGGCGATTATTTGATCTTTCATGCGAGCTGATGTGGTGTGGGCTTCCTTCTGGTCAATTGTAACGCATTCATGTTTATTACAACAGTTAGAATACGACCAGATTAAACATTTGCTTATTATGGCTGGCTTTTTGTATGCCAGGTACCTTTACCCTTTCAAATCTTGGAATGTTTGGTGTGGATCGCTTTGATGCCATTTTACCGCCAGGAACTGTAAGTTTTTGCAATTAAATTTAAATTCATCCTCTCTAGTAGATTACCTGTCATTTGACCAAATTATGCAAATGTAACTGATGTATGGGAATTATTTTTTTACAGGGTGCAATCATGGCTGTTGTAGTATCTTAGCCCTCTGTAGTTGCTACAAAGGACGGTCGGATTGGCATGAGAAGTCAGATGCAGGTTAATCTCTTGTTTATTTCCACTATTAGTATTTGAAGTCTTGATTTTTTCATTAGACCGTGCGAGTAACTTCTTGTTGAGTACTGAATTTTGACGAAGCAATAATTACGGGCAAATGTTACGGCAGATCATCGTGTCATATACGGTTCGGATCAAGCTTNACACAAAAATATGAGATTCAATGCAAAACCCAGATGAAAATCAAGAACAAGAATTGCCAAAACTATATGACAGTTAAAAGGCGATTATTTGATCTTTCATGTGAGCTGATGTGGTGTGGGCTTCCTTCTGGTCAATTGTAACGCATTCATGTTTATTACAACAGTTAGAATACGACCAGATTAAACATTTGCTTATTATGGCTGGCTTTTTGTATGCCAGGTACCTTTACCCTTTCAAATCTTGGAATGTTTGGTGTGGATCGCTTTGATGCCATTTTACCGCCAGGAACTGTAAGTTTTTGCAATTAAATTTAAATTCATCCTCTCTAGTAGATTACCTGTCATTTGACCAAATTATGCAAATGTAACTGATGTATGGGAATTATTTTTTTACAGGGTGCAATCATGGCTGTTGTAGTATCTTAGCCCTCTGTAGTTGCTACAAAGGACGGTCGGATTGGCATGAGAAGTCAGATGCAGGTTAATCTCTTGTTTATTTCCACTATTAGTATTTGAAGTCTTGATTTTTTCATTAGACCGTGCGAGTAACTTCTTGTTGAGTACTGAATTTTGACGAAGCAATAATTACGGGCAAATGTTACGGCAGATCATCGTGTCATATACGGTTCGGATCAAGCTTCATTCTTGCAATCTCTAGCTCAGTTAGTCGAGGACCCTAAAGATCTTACCCTTTAGTCCCCCCAGTTTTCTGAGATAAATTTCTTGTACTGTTACGTGACNTTCATTCTTGCAATCTCTAGCTCAGTTAGTCGAGGACCCTAAAGATCTTACCCTTTCGTCCCCCCAGTTTTCTGAGATAAATTTCTTGTACTGTTATGTGACTCTCATCCATTTGATTATCATCCGGGATCTTTATTGAGTACCATTGGGGTGAAGTCAAGACTTAATCACTATCTGCACATAGTTATGTAGAACAACAGGAGCAGAATTCTGAAGAGCAATATTGTTATAGTTTTCCTTTAAATTAGCTTTTGTTAAGTTTCAGACACTGAGGATATATTTTGTATTGTAATAAATTGTGGCTTAATTAAGCGTTGATCATTGATTTTGTCTTTTAAATCTCCTTGTTCAGTTATCTTTTTAAGAAATTGTTCTGATATTGGAGTTTTTAGCAAGCAATGTCTTTCTATGTGTAATGTATTGGTCAAATGTTACCAAGAAATGAGAAAAAAAGGCACAAGTCTCACAGTTTGCTGTTTGTAACCAGCACACATAATTTCATGGACAATAGCCATTAAGGTAGCATGGAATTATGTTAATGTATACAAGCTGGTCAAAAAAAAAAAAAATTCAAGTATTACATCCAAATGAGTTTTCTGTTTTTGTTGTCAGATTTTTTTACAACTATAAAAGCAATCAAACACGTTTTCTGTTTTCATTTTTTATTAACAAAAATCTAAAATTGATTCTATTTTTTATTTTTTTAAAAAACCAAAATTATAAAACATTTTCAAACGAGCCCTTAAGCGTTAGTTGCTTGATTTATGGGTTTAATTTTTAGAGTTAATTAGCTTAATAANATTCTATTTTTTATTTTTTTAAAAAACCAAAATTATAAAACATTTTCAAACGAGCCTTTAAGCGTTAGTTGCTTGATTTATGGGTTTAATTTTTAGAGTTAATTAGCTTAATAAATGGGATAATTAACCAATAGACTAGTTTAATTACATAAAATTTAGTTAACAAAAATTGAAGGTGTAAATTAAGTGATCAATTTCTTAATTAATGAGACTAATTAGTTAATGGAATAACTAGTTAATCGTTGGGGCTAATTTTCAAATTAATTTGACAAAATCAATGGTGTTAGTTGCTTATTAAATAGGGTTTTCATTGCTTAAATTAAATTAATGGGATAATGAAATTGATTAGCTTGATTAGTGGATTTATTGGGTTTTTATAAACATTTTAAAATAGTGGACATTTTAAAATGTAAAAAACTAAACTTATAAAAACTTATGAACTTGGAAAGTTGGTTGGTCAATTAACCACCAGACAATGGGCCCTATATAAAGGGTAGTTTGGTAAATTATATTTTATATGTTATGATGATATCATTAATTTTGAACAATTATCTTAATGGAAACTAACAAATAAGGGTTATGTGTTACATGCACACATACTTCAAGGGATTTGGATGTAATATATTAAATATGAGGAGGTTTAAGTATTTAAGTGACAAACCTCACTCGGAATGTAATTTACCTTAGGGTTAATTATAAGTTGCACTCCAAAAGATAGTTCGAATCTCAATTTAAANTTGGATGTAATATATTAAATATGAGGAGGTTTAAGTATTTAAGTGACAAACCTCACAATATCGGAATGTAATTTACCTTAGGGTTAATTACAAGTTGCGCTCCAAAAGATAGTTCGAATCTCAATTTAAACCCTCAAAGATCAAAAATTTTAATTTGCACCCTCAAAGATATAAATTTGTATCAATGTACACCCTCAAAAATTAAAAATCTCAATTTACACCCTCAAAGATAGGAATTTGTATCAATGTGCACCTCTAAAGATAAAAAATCTCAATTTACACCTCAAAAATAGGAATTTGTATCAATGTGCGCCTAAAATTAAATTGATAAATTATACTTAAATCCCCTCATGTTTGTCACTTAATCATTTGGACCCCTTTATATTTAGANATTTACACCCTCAAAGATAGGAATTTGTATCAATGTGCACCTCTAAAGATAAAAAATCTCAATTTACACCCTCAAAAATAGGAATTTGTATCAATGTGCGCCTAAAATTAAATTGATAAATTATACTTAAATTCCCTCATGTTTGTCACTTAATCATTTGGACCCCTTTATATTTAGAATATTATTTTTATATCTCATGGCGTTGTTTGTGCACGTGTAACACATAACTCATTTTGTTGATATATGTTAATATAACCGTTAAAAAAATATGATTTTATCCTAATAAAAAATTATAATTTCATATTACCCTTTATTTTGTGGGTCCGATATACTTTAATGTTTAAAATCAAACTTACCATTTGAATGTCAAATAAAATGTAGGTATTTATATAATATTTTTTATATTCAATGTAATATATCACTAAATGTGCAACCTTTTATTCTATTAGACATTCAAATGATAAGCTTGATTTTAAACTTTAGAATATATTGGACCCATAAAANACTTACCATTTGAATGTCAAATAAAATGTAGGTATTTATATAATATTTTTTATATTTAATGTAATATATCACTAAATGTGCAACCTTTTATTCTATTAGACATTCAAATGGTAAGTTTGATTTTAAACTTTAGAATATATTGGACCCATAACATAAAGGGTAATATAAAATTATAATTTTTTGTTATGATAAAATCATATTTTTTAACGGTTATATTAACAGATATCAACGAAAAGGGGTTACGTGTTACACGTGCATAAACGTCATGAGATATAAGAGTAATATTTTAAATGTAAAGGAGTCCAAATGATTAAGTGACAAGTATAAAGGGATCTNATTAACAGATATCAACGAAAAGGGGTTACGTGTTACACGTGCATAAACGTCATGAGATATAACAGTAATATTTTAAATGTAAAGGAGTCCAAATGATTAAGTGACAAGTATAAAGGGATCTAAGTATAATTTATCAATTTAATTTTAGGTGCACATTGATACAAATTTTTATTTTTGGTGTAAATTGAGATTTTTTATCTTTGAGAGTGCATATTAATACAAATTTCTATCTATGAGAGTGTAAATTAAAAATTTTAATATTTGAGAGTNCATTGATACAAATTTTTATTTTTGGTGTAAATTGAGATTTTTTATCTTTGAGAGTGTATATTGATACAAATTTCTATATATGAGGGTATAAATTAAAAATTTTAATATTTAAGAATATAAATTAAAATTTGAACGATATTTCATGATACAATTTGTAGTTAACCCTTTACCCTAAATCTAATTTTTAATTTCATATAAAGGCACACAGTCCATTTTTCATGAGTCGATAGGATAAGTTTCGCAAACAAAATCAATTTTCGGCACACTTCCCAATTCAGGCTCTGGCGTCATCTTCAACCCCACAACCCCTTTCCTCTCTTCGTATTTATTCGTAATCGTACAACAACACATCACATCGACACCTTCTTCGTAGTCTCTCTCTTTCTGTCTGTTGAGCTCTGTTTCTCGGATCAAATAACAACAGCGTTGTGAAGAAAACTATGCAGTCGAGTGCTGATGCCAATCAACGCATTGCCAGAATCTCTGCTCACCTTAATCCTCCTAATCCCCAGGTATTCACTTCTTTATTCCGATTCTGCTCTTTGATTTTCTTTCGTTCTTTGGTTTTTGCCCTTTTGGTTGGCTGGAAAACTGTGATTTACCAGGGTTCGTTGACTTGATTACTTTGAGGTCTTGTTTAATTGAAGACAGAGACTGAAATATTTGATTATAGGTATTTTCTCAGCAACCAACTGGCAAATTGAGATTGTTGTGATGGAGTTAATCGAAAGTTATCTGCTTTTCGCACTTTATGTTTCTCAATAATCATAGCTTGATTTGACATAGAGCTATTTTGATTAATTGCTGGCCATATATTGGTGGTATAGGCTTAAATATGAATGAAATGAGAAAATTTTGATTGTTGTGATGGTGTTAATCGAAAGTTATCTCCTTTTCGCACTTTATGTTTCTCAATAATCATAGCTTAATTTGACATAGAGCTATTTTGATTAATGGCTGGTCATAGATTTAGTGGTATAGGCTTAAATACGAATGAAATGGGTTTTCTATCTTTCTCCCCCAGCTTAAGTTACCTTTTTTTTTTATTCAAATTAAAGATTGTTTTTTGGTCTTTGAATGTGGTTGGCAATGGATATAAAATGTTTTCTGGTAGATGGAGGGAAGCTTCAGATTAGAAAGAAAGAATTGCCGGGCTAAAGGTGGATCCCTGGGATTCAAAGTTGCTATTTTGGGTGCTGCAGGAGGCATAGGTCAGCCTCTTGCAATGCTGATGAAGATGAATCCGCTGGTTTCGGTTCTTCATCTCTATGATGTCGTCAATACTCCTGGGGTGACAGCAGATATTAGTCACATGGACACTGGTGCTGTGGTAACTTTACTTACTCTTCATCCTCCTTTCCACTGTAATTCCTAATCGTCTTGATTCTGACTTGCGTTCTGTACTTATTTTGGTTCCATCCAATAAAGTATAGTCCTAATAAGGATGTACGTGTGTTCATGGTCAGTTGTTGAATTTACTGTGGTAAGATGATATTCATGATAACATTGTCTCAAAGTGGTAGTGAATGGACAATTTAGGAATGTAAAATAAATAAAGTTAAGGGTTACTTTCACCACCCAGACCCCTAGTGGTTTGTCAGTAAATCACATGGACTCTTGTATGTGTAGAACATAGTTCCATTATCCACCGGGTGGATAGCTACAGGCAGAAGAATCTGTTTCAAACGATCTTCATGGAACTTTAATGTTTCCTTCAGTTGCCGAAGACATGAAACAAATGGTGAAAGGGGGAAAATCAATCAGTGAGATTGTTACCATAATTTGGGTTATGTTTTCACTCTAGACAAACCCAAACAACATAACTACTACAAATGAAAAATGTTTGCAACAAAACTCAAAAAAAAAAAAAAGCGAAGCAGAAGAAAAAAGGCACCTGTGACAATGTTTCGACATCATTTTGAAACATTGCAATTTCAACAAAGTTTTGATTTCTATCTCCAAATCTTGAAGTTAAAATACACAATGGAGAAGAGGGAAATATTAATAAATGGAATACAGGAGCCCAGAAAAGCAAAATCTCACTTTTATTGGGCCTAATTTTACTCCATTTCTTGGCGTAAAAGTCTAAATGATGCCCTTCCTTCCCATGCATTTTTCGCAAATAATCCAAGGAAAGAAAGTTTTATTTTGAAGGTAATATGTTCAGGTTATCCTTAAAGTTGGCATGTAGAACTAATTTATATCTTTGCATTTCTAGGTGCGCGGTTTTCTAGGGCAACAACAATTGGAGGATGCCCTTACTGGAATGGACCTTGTAATCATTCCTGCCGGTGTTCCAAGGAAACCGGGAATGACGAGAGATGATTTATTCAAGATCAATGCAGGGATCGTTAAGACCTTATGCGAAGGAGTTGCCAAGTGCTGTCCAAATGCCATTGTCAACTTGATTAGCAATCCTGTGAACTCTACCGTTCCTATTACAGCAGAGGTTTTCAAAAAAGCTGGCACCTATGATCCAAGGCGGCTTTTGGGAGTCACAATGCTTGATGTTGTTAGAGCCAATACTTTTGTGGTATGCATGGATTGGTAATTTTACTTTGTCTTCCATTTTTTTGATAATAAAGTCTAAACCAAAAATTTGCTTCATGATTCATTGAGGTTAGCCAACTCGCCACTTGATGGTGCAAGTCTCTCCCTCTCTCTCAGCTGTATAATAGTAATCATATACGGATAGACCATCTATGTTTCTAATGGCTGCTTTATTTTTTCTTCAGAAATTTCGTGGAAATGTATATATGTTTGTCTAGGTGAATATTATTAAGACAAATCAGGGAGTAGTTTCCTTCCCTATATCGAGTGTGAAGTAGCAAAGGTATCTCTGCTTCTGTGTCACTATTTCCACCCACTATGGGCTAGGCATGACCCTTTTCTATGCCCTCCTCGTTGTCAGAAATGATGTCCACTACAACTTGCACTAAAAAATGAAGACTAGGATTACATTTTTCAAATTATCACAGAAGAGACCATAGACCTTGGTACTTGAAATCTATTGGTGTGACTTAACTTTTGGAGAGGTGTATGGTTTGAACTGTAGTCCAAAACATTGTTGAATGCAAGGGGAACCATACAGAATGGATAAANCTTTCACCACCCAGACCCCTAGTGGTTTGTCAGTAAATCACATGGACTCTTGTATGTATGGAACATAGTTCCATTATCCACCGGGTGGATAGCTACAGGAAGAAGAATCTGTTTCAAACGATCTTCATGGAACTTTAATGTTTCCTTCAGTTGCCGAAGACGTNTTTCACCACCCAGACCCCTAGTGGTTTGTCAGTAAATCACATGGACTCTTGTATGTGTAGAACATAGTTCCATTATCCACCGGGTGGATAGCTACAGGCAGAAGAATCTGTTTCAAACGATCTTCATGGAACTTTAATGTTTCCTTCAGTTGCCGAAGACATGAAACAAATGGTGAAAGGGGGAAAATCAATCAGTGAGATTGTTACCATAATTTGGGTTATGTTTTCACTCTAGACAAACCCAAACAACATAACTACTACAAATGAAAAATGTTTGCAACAAAACTCTAAAAAAAAAAAAAAGCGAAGCAGAAGAAAAAAGGCACCTGTGACAATGTTTCGACATCATTTTGAAACATTGCAATTTCAACAAAGTTTTGATTTCTATCTCCAAATCTTGAAGTTAAAATACACAATGGAGAAGAGGGAAATATTAATAAATGGAATACAGGAGCCCAGAAAAGCAAAATCTCACTTTTATTGGGCCTAATTTTACTCCATTTCTTGGTGTAAAAGTCTAAATGATGCCCTTCCTTCCCATGCATTTTTCACAAATAATCCAAGGAAAAGAAAGTTTTATTTTGAAGGTAATATGTTCAGGTTATCCTTAAAGTTGGCATGTAGAACTAATTTATATCTTTGCATTTCTAGGTGCGCGGTTTTCTAGGGCAACAACAATTGGAGGATGCCCTTACTGGAATGGACCTTGTAATCATTCCTGCCGGTGTTCCAAGGAAACCGGGAATGACGAGAGATGATTTATTCAAGATCAATGCAGGGATCGTTAAGACCTTATGCGAAGGAGTTGCCAAGTGCTGTCCAAATGCCATTGTCAACTTGATTAGCAATCCTGTGAACTCTACCGTTCCTATTACAGCAGAGGTTTTCAAAAAAGCTGGCACCTATGATCCAAGGCGGCTTTTGGGAGTCACAATGCTTGATGTTGTTAGAGCCAATACTTTTGTGGTATGCATGGATTGGTAATTTTACTTTGTCTTCCATTTTTTTGATAATAAAGTCTAAACCAAAAATTTGCTTCATGATTCATTGAGGTTAGCCAACTCGCCACTTGATGGTGCAAGTCTCTCCCTCTCTCTCAGCTGTATAATAGTAATCATATACGGATAGACCATCTATGTTTCTAATGGCTGCTTTATTTTTTCTTCAGAAATTTCGTGGAAATGTATATATGTTTGTCTAGGTGAATATTATTAAGACAAATCAGGGAGTAGTTTCCTTCCCTATATCGAGTGTGAAGTAGCAAAGGTATCTCTGCTTCTGTGTCACTATTTCCACCCACTATGGGCTAGGCATGACCCTTTTCTATGCCCTCCTCGTTGTCAGAAATGATGTCCACTACAACTTGCACTAAAAAATGAAGACTAGGATTACATTTTTCAAATTATCACAGAAGAGACCATAGACCTTGGTACTTGAAATCTATTGGTGTGACTTAACTTTTGGAGAGGTGTATGGTTTGAACTGTAGTCCAAAACATTGTTGAATGCAAGGGGAACCATACAGAATGGATAAATTTCATGATGGGGATTGCACTAAGTCTCCTTATTGGCTTGTTGTGTAATGTTACTTGGTACAATATGATCTCACACATGGCATTAACTTATCTGTTTGATGTTTTGAAGGCTGAAGTTTTGGGGCTTGATCCTAGGGAAGTTGATGTTCCAGTTGTAGGGGGTCATGCTGGGGTTACGATTTTACCTCTTTTGTCACAGGTCCAGAGAATTTGTTTTCTGAATCACGGATTTCTTTTACAGTTAGGCTCTAATTATAGTACACCCTCAACATCTCAATCATTTGTTTACATGTTGCACAGGTTAAACCTCCATGTTCTTTCACCTCTGAGGAAACTGACTGTCTGACATCTCGCATTCAGAATGGTGGAACTGAAGTTGTTGAGGTAAGGAGAGATAGTTTGTGTTGTTTGTTGAATGGCTGACACTGTTCCAAGTACCTTCTGTCTGTAGATTGATAAAGCATAGAAGGTGTGTTTGGCTTTGTCTTATTTGGGGGGGGCTTATAAAGTAGCAAATTTGACATGGATCACCAACACATGTATGGATTTTCTTTTTTTTTTTTTGCCCTTTTTCCCCAAGCCAATGACTTGGTCAGACTATTATATGTAATGTTGTGCTATTTTGAGCATAGTGGTAAATATAACTTCAGCATATGTTTTTCTCATCTCATATTTATCTTTAATGCCAGTCATATGGCTTGAACAGATCCCTTTAGGGCAATGATCATATTATTGCACTGTTGAACGGTTATGATGATTTGATTAGGTGCATGGCAAACTCATGTCAATTGTTGACAGTCATCGGTGTTGGATTGAAAAAAACTGCATGATGCAGCATTTAGATGTGCCATTATGTTCACTAATGCTTGTAAAGGACCACTGGAGGGCCTAATTGTTTGAGTAGAATTAGAGGTGATACCGTTTATTTTCTTTTCTATTGGATTCATGAAGAGTGGACGGTGTCGACATGATTTTCTTAAACCAGAACCAAATGTCTGTAATGGTTACTAATGGTAATTGTTATTTTTTTTTTCTGGAATATTGACAAAAAAACTGCTGCCTTTTATCCATGGTATTATAGGCTAATTCTGATACATAGAGGTGATGAGATGTGTCAACACGTAGTCTATTGTCATCCATGCATGTCATTCACTTAAGGGTACTAGGGGACAAAACACTGCGTCTTTATTGCCTATGAATTCATGGGATCTAGTTTACTGAAAGGTGGTGATGATTTTAGTCATTTAGATACATTCTAAGCTTGAATGCGACTGTGGTTTATATTTATTTTTCTGTTGATAGAAAAATGTCCAATATACACAGGCATTCATTTTAGATGAATGACTAACTATCTAAAATGCGGTTCTATTTCATTTCATTTAAATTTTTACCTATTCGATTATGGTGAATTGAAGTTGCTCGCCCCTGTTGCAGGCAAAAGCTGGGTCAGGATCAGCAACTCTGTCCATGGTCAGCCATATTACTCTTATCCTTTTTGTTGTAATTTTATAGCTGGTATTGCCACCTGTCATAAGATTGTAACAGTACATGATTAATACAGGCATATGCTGCTGTTAAATTTGCTGATGCATGTTTGCGTGGCTTGAGAGGAGATGCCGGCATTGTTCAATGTGCTTTCGTGGCTTCTCAGGCATGCTACCAAGAGTCTGATTTTCCACAAATCATCTATTGATCTGTCTGGTCCCATACCTAATGATTTTGTAAAATAGCCAAGTGGTGTCTTTTGCAGGTGACTGAACTTCCTTACTTTGCATCCAAGGTACGGCTTGGCCGTAATGGAGTTGAGGAGATATGCCCACTTGGTCCCTTGAATGAATATGAAAGGTCAATGGCGGTTTGCGCACAAATTTTTTCTTTCATCTTTTGATCTGTGTTCTTATTTGTACAAAATGTAGTTATTAAGCATGCCATGATATTATCAACAGGGCAGGGTTAGAGAAGGCAAAGAAAGAGTTAGCAGCAAGCATTGAGAAGGGTATTTCCTTTGTAAGAAAATGATTAGGTGACATCAATCACTTGTTCTTCTCCGAAATGTTCTTCAATATCACAGCTCCTGGAAAAATAAGTGGTAGGGTCTCTGTAGTATCAAAACTAGATGGAAGTGAGTTTCGTAACTCGGATTTATGTAGCACACATAATGGTTTGATGTATGTTGTCCCAAAAAATAATGCAAATAAATAAATAAATAAAAAGAGGGTCTACTTTATGTTTCTACAGGGTTCATTTTAATAATTGAAAATATTCGTTTCAATATTAATTTCTTTTGAGTGCCTAACAGTTGAATACAGTTGCCTGATTGATTAATGAAGTGCTCAAATGCAAGTGTTCATTTCTCCTATTTTCTTGTTTTTTGTTTTTGTGATATAATAACTTCAATTTGTCAAAAAGGATTAGAAAAATTGGTGTTTTGTATTTATACTCTAATAATTATATTTTAAATTAATTTGTTGATTTAATCCATTGCAATCATTAGGTTGGAAACGGATATAGGGTTAATTGCTAATCAAATTGATGTGATTAATTAGGTTAAGAAATTAGGTTTAAGTAACATTTTCCGTCATACTCTACTTTTGCATTCCCGAACTACACACTGTGTCAAGTGTTTTCCCCCCTTTCAGGTTGGTTTTCTTTGTGATCACCAAAAGAAAAGTAAGC